AGACGGGTCTCTCCCGAAATGCTTCGCGCTGCCAACGTAGCAGAGCAGAGCTAACCGATAGGAGCTGCTTCTTCCGCCGGATCATGGCTCCGTAGAGCTCCTCTGAAGGCCGGTGAATATCGATTAGGCTTCTGTGAATGAGAATCGGTTTTGTTCCGTGATCAGTAATCTCCGATCATTTTTAGATATCGATCCCGGAGGATTTTAAGCCGGTTTGTTAGCATCGCCTCACAGTTCATCACAGACGAGCCCAGCGCTGCGCGGACAGGTAGGTTAACGTTTTACGATCTTTATCGATTTAATTTGGCTGTATTTTGGTGCTGGTCGTGTGTGGTGAAGCTACAGGAGGATGTTTAGCTTTTAGGAGCTGTGTGGCTAACTGTAAAAGCTAAACAAACCTCCATTTACTGACGTTACTTAGCTTCGCCGGCTTCTTGTTCGAATTGTTCTGTTCCACCTTAAATGTAACTGCTGCACCATTTAAGGTGGAGTAGAACAATTCGAACAAGAAGCCATTTTCACTCATACTTAACTACAGTGTGTACTTTTTGCTTTTACCTGTAGCATCGAAAATTAAGACAAAAACATTTTTACCTTGTTTTAAAAGTGTGGAGGAGTTTACACTGTTTATTTAGGAGGTAGGACATGATCTTAATTCTTACAAATTCTCTCCACAGTTAAATGGTTAACATGTAAACAGAGTCATTCAGAGTGGTTTGGTGTGAAACACTCAGTTCTAGGGAAACTTACTGAGTCAGAATTTCTCACAGTGGTGGTGATAGGAACCAGACGTCCACCTCTAAAAGCTCCCTCACAGAAAGTTATTACATGAAATGGTTAATATCACCCTTATCACCACCACTGTAAAAAAACTGGTTTGGCAGCAGAATTTACCAAAAAGTGTGCTAGATTAAAATCGTATACTGCACCTTTAAATCTCGTATTGAATTTCAAGACAAGCATAAGTTGCCAAGCAGCAGTAGAGCTGCAGGTCATGTGTTTATAACGAAATTTGATTTTTTTTTTTCTCGTTATTGAATTGCTGAAGTAACTGTGTTTTTTGCAGTTATCAGATGATTATGTGAATGTAAACATACTCACTGGTCTGCGACGAAGAAATAATATCACCACTGTTTCTGTTGCAGGTGAGATGGCGAGTCCCCGGACCAGACGCGTCCTGAAGGAAGTGAGGACGAAAGATGGAAATAACGTATGTGTTCGTGCTCGTTTTCTTCACCGCTGTGAGGATGGTGATGTGAGTCTGGGTTCTGATGTGGTGGTTTGTGCTCTCTCTCTCTCTCTTTCTCTCTTTCTCCCGTTCTCTCCACTGCAGGTGTGTTTTGAGTGCGGAGCGTTTAACCCTCAGTGGGTGAGTGTGACCTACGGGATCTGGATCTGTCTGGAATGTTCTGGAAAGCACAGAGGCCTCGGGGTCCATCTGAGGTAAGCACCACACCTGCCTGAACACCTGAGTCAGTGTCATTAATTAAAGCTGCAATGATGAACCTGATCTGGAAGAACAAGCTGCACACATAGGCCACGTTAGGGCTTGGTGATATGTTAATATTAATCAATTTTGTGATAAAGTTCATCACAGTATGTCACAGCGTGTCTTTTTAAGCATCACCAGCACTTAATGGACACTGATCGACTGCATGTTTGATTCGGAGAGCAGTTAGTCCTTTTAATTGGATTTCCTGCAGCTCAGCATGTCAACTGTTGAATGCACATAGTTTTTATACTGTATTTAAAAGTGTCACTAATTTGCTGATCCAGCAGAAAAGATAAATATTGTGATGTTGTGTATTGTGAACAGTTCATTTTCAAATGGCTACTGCTGCGATTGTAATTGTCTTACGTTGTTCAGTGTTGTTTAAAGGGCAAAATTTACCTGTGAACTGTTAGCCTGACACAAAACGTTCAGCGTTCAAGCTTAAAGTCCGAAAACACTGATGTGCTGGCTTTCCTGGCAACAGTGAAAATAAGCCTTTAGCTTAATTCATAGAAAAAAGTCACATTTGAATTGCAATTACATACTTTATCCAAATTGTTCAACCCTAGTAGTACATTTTTGACACATCGCCCACTTCTAGGCTACCTCCCCAAATTCTACTGAGAGTCACCCAAGTATCTTGTTCCATTTTCATAATTTCCCAAATGTTTTATTTTGTTGACGTAAAAACAAGATTACTTTCTAAATGACATGAGACACAGTCTGTCTGGTCAGTGAGTGTTTACTTATTCAGAAAAACACTAATGTTACAATAAACACACATTAATACAGTAACTAGTGATTTATGTGTATGTCAATATGTTTGTTTAGCTGATATGGCCAATTAATGCTAAATTATGTTAAAGGGTGCTGATGATGGATGTGATGGCCGGAGACGTTTTACTGTGTTTATGTTTATTTGCTTCTCATAGCCTAATATGTGGCCAAAACACACTTCATAAAGTAAAGTAAATGGTTTTAAACCATGAGTTTGGGTGTCTGGGACTTTCTCACAGTTCTGTGTGAATAGAGTTGAAAGTCAGTTGTGCTGACTGACTGTATTCAGTCAGTAACATTTGCATGATGTTTAAAGTAGCCTGTTCGGCTGAGCTGAACAGTCCCACTCAGAGCATAAAGATAAAGCGTTTCTTGGGCATAACAATAACACACACAGATATTTAAGAGTTTATTATTTGGCATACATGATTTTCTGTTTTAACTTATGACTTTAAACATCTTTTCCCACATTTCAACTTGTTTTGTTTACAGCTTTGTGCGTTCTGTTTCGATGGACAAATGGAAGGATATAGAGCTGGAGAAGATGAAGGCGGGGGGAAATGAGAAGTTCCGCTTGTTTCTGGAGCTGCAGGATGATTATGACGCAAACTGGAGTCTGCAGGAGAAATACAACAGCAAGGCTGCTGCTCTGTTCAGGGACAAGGTGGGTTTATCCTCTGTTATCTTGCTGATGGGCGAGTGTTTCAAGAGTGATGTGAGAATCGGACTGACTGACTGTGTTGAGTGTAATGTTAGTGTCCGTATAATATTATAAAATGATCTGTGTGTTTTTAGGTGGCTACTCTAGCCGAGGGGAAGGAATGGTCCATCGAAAACTCCCCTGCCAAAGACTGGACTCCTCCTCAGCCGAAGACTGGACTCTCCTCCTCTCACCGGTAACACACCTGCTGAACTGCCGTTAGGTTTGCGAATGTGCGGAGATATCTGAATCAAAACGTTACCACATCGTACGAAAATGTGCACAGAAATCGAGCCAACGAAACCTCCAAGGAAAACTGTATATTAACCATTCCACCTTTTTTTATAGATTATCAGTTACTTTATTTGCCTTTGTATTTTGTACGAACTTTTACATTAAAAGGCCAAACTATGTTGCAGGTGGATTTAGTCCCAGTTTCTACATTTAATTAATGTTTCTGTATCAATCAGATTCTTGCTTATTCGGGTCAGTGGTGAAAGATCTTGGTATTAGAGAACACTCTCTGGGATCTTATTTTAGCATGTAATCAACATTGATGATGTTGATTAGGATGTGCACATGCAGGTCGGTTCGTTAACAGTAAAGACAGATTTAAGCCCCTTACCTACAAAAATGTGAATCGTCAAGTCAGAGACCCCGTTTACACCTGGTCACTTGATGTGTTTTAAGTATCAGGATCATATCTGGATGAGGCCATATAAAAATACAAGTGTAAATATAACCAAAACGCATTTAAAACAGATACAAATCACTCAAACCATTTCAGGAGGTGGACTGAGATGCTGTTGAGCCACATGTTCTAGCAGCGTAAACACATCCATCTCTCGACGACACGTTCAACAGCCAAGACCCTTCCCAGTACAACCGAAACCCCTTCCAGTACTGTTCCCTTACACGAATGTACAAAACACCCTGCAGACGAAGAGGCTGAATAGATAAACAGTTTATAATTGGTTGCCGTGTAACGAGCTGATTTGTATATTCCGTCCCACACAGCAATCAGTTTTCAGTTCAACTAACCAGAAACACATTTGACTACCAAGTGTAAATGCATGTGGCTAAAATCAGGATGCAATCCAAGTACTGGACACATGAAGTGACCAGGTGTGAACAGGGTCCAAAAGATCCAATCAGAATCGAGCAATGAGGCTTGTAATGTGAACGTAACCTTTGTGATGATCACTCCTAACAGTTAAGATCTTAAGATCTTACAGTGATCATCAGATCTCAGGATATGTTATAATAACTCTGAACTCTGTGGTGTTGCAGAAGCTCTGCCGGTGCTGGTCAGCAGTCCTCACACTCAGACAGGGCGTTTGAAGACTGGTTGAGTGACGACGTCAACTCCTACCAGAGGTGAGTTCAGTGGTCTGTGCGTATGGACTCTGCAGGTTCCTCAGAGCAGACTGTGTGTTGTGTGTGAAGCTGGTAAATGGTGGTGAGAACTTGGTGGTGAGCTGACGTTCTAATGATGCTGCTCCGTCTGCAGTGGTGGGAGCGGGCAGGAGAACCGCTATGTGGGCTTTGGAAACACGCCTAACCCTCCGAAGAAGGAAGATGATTTCATTAACAATGCGATGTCCTCCATTTACTCGGTAAGAGTGGATCTTAATGCTCTCTCCCTCTTTGACTGTGACAGATCAGTCGTTTCCCAGCAGAATGCTAATCTCTCTGTGTGTGTGTTTGGTAATTAGGGCTGGAGCAGCTTCACAGTCAGTGCGAGTAAGTTTGCAGCCGTCGCAAAAGACAACGTAAGTGGATTTCGGTTTTGTTACCATATCAGTTGATTGTATCTTCATCCTAAGCTCCAAAACTGCAGCTAGACTCTGAACTAGGGCTGGACAATGTGACAATATTTGATTTTTTATATTTTATAAATTATGTCCCAGTATGCTTTTTGATCATGTTATTCATATTGTCAGTACTTGAAAAACACTGACTAACTATTTAATTGTTTAATTGTTAATTTATTGTTTTATTACCGAGCTTAATTAATCCTGTTTACCAGTTAATTACCACTGTTAATGATCAAAACTAGGCAGGCTATCAGGGTAAAGTGGGCATGGAAGGGGCTGGGCTTAGGATTATACAGATTTCTTTTTTCTCAAATAAATAAAGAGGCTCTTTGTGCCGCAAGTGTGTTTAAGTGTCTGTTTTCCTGCATTTATGTGAGATGTGATTAAAATCTGATCATCTCTCCTGAAACAGACCACAAAATTGGCCAGCCAGGCATCTATGAAGGTACATATTTTACTAACGTATACACAAATCTTTAACAGTGTTTTGTGTGTTTGTGTTTTTGTATAAAACGCCATGCAGCTGTTCAGATGTGTAATTCTGACTGATTTGTGTGCCGTTCAGATGAGCATAAATCAGGACTTCTAAACACTGGTTTACCACAGAACCTGTTTTTATGTTTACTTTTTTCTCTGATTTATTTTTTTAATTTGGGTTTTTGCTCATTTTAACTGTGAAAGTATATGTTGCTATAGCCGTTTGCGTGTGTCTGATTATTAAAAGTAGCACTTCTTCAACCAGATCATCCCAGAGTGACCCGCAAAACCGGTTCCTGCTCATACCAAAATCTAGTGTCGCTCTATGTTCTGTATTTTTAGGCTAAATGAAGTGATGAGAAATCACACACGGCACTACAAAGTGAGCATGGTGTCAACTTGTCAGCCAAAATTAACCTAAAACCAAGTGATACAGTTGATGTGGCAAATTTAAAATCAATTTACTTGGAAAAATGCAGTTTAGTGTGTACATGATTATTGCAGGTATTTAGCTTCATTACACGTAGACATTGATACCTCCTCCCAACAAGTAGAGCTTTAATCAGGCTTGAAATGTTGTTCCAAGCCCAAATACAGTCTGAGAACGTTTTGTCCGAGCCTGACCCAACACAGAGTCTGAACTTAACCTGGGCCTGACAAATTTCTGCCCAAAACTGACTCAACTGAGCCACATCATCATATTTTGAGTTCTAAACTGTCCTGAGTCTGACAAAATTCTGTCTGGAACTGACCAGAACCAGCTCATCATAAAAAGTCCTCAATAAAACCCAACAGGGCAACACTGGATACTGTATAGTGACAATTACACCGTCATTAGATCACAGATAAATAAAATATTGAACAAGTGTGTTGGATTAAAATATGATTTCAGGTGGTGAAAGTAGAATAAAGTTAGCAGATAAACTGAACCAAGTTTTATATGGAATGTTGATGATGGGAAAATAGTGGACAATCTGAAATAATGAGTTTTCTTTAGGGACTGTTTTGCTTTAAAATACACTTTAGGCCAAAAATCTTGTCAAAACTGTCTCAGACATCAGGCAGTGTATTCATAACCATGTCATGTAATAACTTTCTGTTAGGGAGCTTTTAGAGGTGGACATGTGGTTCCTATCACCACTACTGTGAACAATTCTGGTTTGGTTTCTCTAGAATGGATTGTTTCACAGCAAATCACTCTGAATGACTCTGTTTATGTCTCGATGGCTGAGATGTCCAGAATCAGAGGAATTCCTCTTTAATGTGTTCAAACATTTTGTGATAATCTCACATTTCTGTGCTTGTAAGTGATTCTGTCTGTGTTCTCTATGTGGTGGAAATCATAGAGCCCTATACCATTATGAAGATTTATTCATTTAAAATAAGGTTTTGATGATGGTTTAGTGTGAACTGTTGCTTTACCTCCCTCTGCTCGCTCTGGATGTCAGTTACGGGGGTATAAGCCACCCCCTGAGCCGGTAAACTATAACACACATGCATGTAACACTGTCTGCTGAGCCAATGCTGCTTCATTTGCATTTACTTTTTTTGTTAATCGTCCGTTATGTGTTTGAATGGCGGAGCTTGTCAGCTTGACTGTGTTTTAGTGTATCTGTAATGTTGAATGTTGGTCAGGAAGGTGACCCGTGTTTTATTTTTTGCTTGGCCACTTCAAAGCATTCAGATGTGTCTCGAGCGGATGGATATATTTATGGAGCATCTTTAAATGATTTATATACATGAAATGATGTGAATGTGGACATTCCTCATCCCATAGGTGGATTCTATATTATAGCTTTTATCTTTCTGGGTGTGTTCTTAAAGAGACACTCCAGCATTTTTCAGTCTATTCTCATTAGAAGATGGTCACTTACCACAAATGCTAATTGCTCTGTCATTAATGAAATAACAGAAACCTGTGAACTCAAATCACACTTGGCATGGAACCCAGTGAGCAGGTGCTCAGAGTTGTGATGCAGTGAGTAGAGATTAGGTTCAAAAAGGCTAAAGTTTCTCTTTAATGCCGCCTCCTCTTGGATTATCCATCTGTGAGCATCGCTGCTGAGCGTCTTGTCTCGTTTGGTCTCGTCCTGTCTGTGGTCTGCCTGAGAGAACGCTGCCTGTTTATTGTTTTAATCGTCTGAATCATTTGTCACTGGATGAATGTGCACATTATCTTCATCCTTCCTCTCCCTCTTCCTCTTCCTCTCCATTCCCGACCAGGCTGCTGAGTTAGGACAGACTTTAAATGAAAATGTTATCAAACCCACTCAGGACAAGGTAACTGATGCTCTCAGGCTGGTGCTGCTGCTTTGGTGGTGGGTTGTAGATCAACCTCACAAACGCTTTGTTTAGCGCAGTGCTAGTAAAGTATGTAGAGCTATAGGTGTTACATACAGAGGGCTGTCATCATTTACATGAATTCATCAAAAAAGAAACTGCATAATTATATTATAATTACTAATAATGACTAATAACCTTTTAATGTGGGGAGCAGTGGGATATGTTTAAAGGTGCAGTAGTTAAAACTGGAGCACAAACACTAATGAAGTTAAAGGGGTGTGTCTGTAACAGACTGATGGGAGCAAAGGGGCGAGTCTGTAACGGACTGACGGGAGCGAAGGGGCGAGTCTGTAACAGACTGACGGGAGCGAAGGGGCGAGTCTGTAACGGACTGAGGGGGGCGAAGGGGCGTGTCTGTAACAGACTAAATATGTATTCAGGTTAATATTAAGACAGTAAATCATTGACTATTGCACCTTTAAAGGGCTTAAAATCTGATGGTAGTGTTTAACAGCCCAGTAGATCTGCTCTTTAAATAGTTTTAATTTAGCAGTTTTAATTATGTTAACGCTGCTCTGCTTGGCTAATTAGAATTAATGGAAATAAATCACTAATCTAAATATTTAAATGTGATCCTGTGATGTGAATCAGCTTTTCACGCAGTGCAGTAGATGCTTTAAATTCTGTTGCTCCACCTGCTGAACATGTGGGTGTAACGGTTCTGTTCTGGCTTTAGTTCTAGGACATGATTCAGAGTTTAATTTGGGGGTGAAAATGCGCCCTCTAGTGTCTGTAAGGTATTAACTCTCTCTGTAGTGTGTGCAGTTGAACAGAAGCAGACAGAACGTCAGGAAATCCAGTATTATATCCACTTCACAGGAAGTGCTGCTAATATGACAATTGAACTCGTTAGTGGAGCTTTTTGACTGTTCATTAAAATCAGGATTTAATTACAAGAAGCAGAATTATAAACTGGAGTTATTATAATTCAGACTTCTGTTCTGCTGGATGAACACCAATCGATTTATTAAATATATACATAAATATATTCAGTTGCTGATGCTGTAGACTGTCTCATATTTCAAAGTAAAAGCAACTAGAACCGTGGCCTTTAGAACTGAGTTTGACACAGAACCGTTACAGTCATACTGATGGAGAATGTCTTTATATGTAACATTGCATAACTCTTGACAAGTGTATAACTGTATTAAAGCAACATACAACTGTTATAACAGTGCATAACTCTATTGTAATAGTACACAACTATGTTACAGCAGTACAGAACTGTGTTATAACAGTACAGAATTGTTAAAACGGTGCATAACATTTATAACAGCACAGAACTCTATTATAACAGTAAGAACTATTTTCTAATGGTACAGAACTGTGTTATAACAGTACAGAACTCTAGAAAGTCCTCTTTATTAACAGTGATGTGACTTATTTAGGTAAAAGATGGAAAGTTGTTTGATGAAATGGCGGTCGGGATCTCAGGGCTCGCCTCAAAGGTACGAAATAAATTGAAGCCCACCTGACCACGGCCTCTGAGTAAAACACCTGCAGCTGCAGCAGCCAATCACAGTCCTCCTCAAACTCACCTGATCGCGGTCCTCCCCGAACTCACCCGATCGCGGTCCTCCCCAGGCTCACCCCGTTGCGGTCCTCCCCGAACTCACCCCATTGCAGTCCTCCCCAGGCTCACCCCATTGCGGTCCTCCCCGAACTGACCCCATTGCGGTCCTCCCCAGGCTCACCCCTTTGCTGTCCTCCCCGAACTCACCCCATTGCGGTCCTCCCCAGGCTCACCCCATTGCGGTCCTCCCCGAACTCACCCCATTGCGGTCCTCCCCAGGCTCACCCCATTGCGGCCCTCCCCGAACTCACCTGATCGTGGTCCTCCCCGAAGTCACCTGATTGCGGTCCGCCCCAAACTCACCTGATCACGATCCTCTTCAAACTCACCCGATCGGGGTCCTCCCCGAACTCACCCCATCGCGGTCCTCCCCAAACTCACCCCATTGCGGTCCTCCTCAGACTTACCTGGTCAGTGCTGAATGTTCAGTGAGGCTGACGGTTGAGCTGCTCAGTGATGGACTGTTTCTCTCGGGGACGTGGTTCAGCTGATCTGTATTTAATCTAATGTGTGTTGTGTTGATTTCTTTGTGCTGTCGTTGTGATTCTGATGGTGAGTAAAAGAAAAAACATTAATGTTAATTACTTTAATTAATGATTTCTTGTTAACAGGATCAAACAGTTACACTTTCATTGTACATTATGCAGTGTGAATTACTGTTATATGGCTGTGTAGCGCTGGGTGATAGATCAATTATAACATACTGTCTGGTGTCCTTTTGCTGCCAGCCTGTATAAAAAGTGTAATAGGAATGTAATCTATGTATGTAACTGTAATATTGGCTTTATTTAAAGGTGTGTATGTGTGTGTTCAGGTTCAGGAGGCTGGAGCGAAAGGCTGGAAGGACATGGGCTCATTCTTTAGTGGGAAACCAGGAGATCCTGCAGACGGGTAATGACGAGGGGAATGACTTTCACTGTGTTTATACACGCATAATACATTTTAACACAAATAACACATTTATCCTGATAAAACACGGCCAGCTTTAGTGTGAATGTACAAACAAGACAAGAATGTTAACTAACGGTTGGCTACACACTTAAAAAAGATGGTTCTTCAAGGGTTTTTTAGTAAAGAAAATGGTTCTATATAGAACTAAGAAAATTTTAAGAGCCCTTTTCATGATTAAAGGGTTGTTTGCATGGTGAAAGCGTTCTTCAGATTGAAGGAGAGTGTGTTAAAGATGGTTCTATATAGAACCTTTTTGAAAATGGTTCTATATAGCACCAAAAGGATTCTCAATTGTGATGTCAAGCTTATCACAAAAGCAGAACTCTTTTTTGGAACCATTTAATCGTGCAAAGTGTGCTTTGAGTGTTCATGGTTCTATATAGAACCACTGTCTTTACTGAAGAACCACGTTTTTTAAGTGTGTGCATGTACTTCCACCTGAACTAATTAAATCTTACCGTGTTTTTGTTATTTTAGTCACTAGGAAAATGTTTTTTTTTATAATAATAATTTTACTTATAACTTACAAGTAATTGTAAGTAAGTGAAGTGTGTATTTTAGTCTATACAATATATCTGTAGTTATACAGAAGATCTGATCTTGTATGTGTGTATGTATGTATGTGTGTGTGCGTGTGCAGGTCTATGGGTGGAGATGGCTATCAGAACATGGAGCCCTCGAGCGGCTACCAGAACAGCGAAGGGGTTGGTCAGAGCTTCTGGGAGACCTTCGGCAGCAACTCCAAGCCCAAGAAGTCCCCCAGCAGTGACAGCTGGACTGTCGCCGACAACTCAGCAGAGAAGAAGAGCTCGGACAGCTGGGACAACTGGGGCTCCGAGGCTCCGTCCAACAACAAGCACAGCACCGGAGACAGCTGGGAGGCCTGGGACAACAACTGGGAGAACGCCGCTGAGAACAAGAGCAAGAAGAGCGCCGCTAAAGAGGACGAGTCGTGGGAGAACGCCGACTGGTAGATGATTCCGCGCTCCTGAACGTCGGAGCCGGCTGTGCCGACTGCGGTGCAACCGCAGAGACGCTGTCATTCTGATCGTATGTGCTGTTGTCGGATGTGTTTTTCAGTAACTTTGTTTGAAATTTATTACAGAAACTTCATCTCCAACGTGAACGCCTTCTCCGAGCACGTTAGAACCCGCTAGAACCTGTTAGAACCTGGCCGTGCTTGTGTTTCGGGTACAGTCGTATTCGATGATGATGATTTTGAGATCTTGCACGTTTTAAATTCAAACTGTAGGTGTTTCTGCTGCGTCTCTGCAGCAGCACTTTAACTTCTAAAGATTCTTTAAGTGTTTTTTCAGTTTAATATGTTTATCAGTTATTTATCTCTCAGCTCTGCGCAGATTAAAGGATGCACCCTTATAAACAGGTTCTTGAAGGGTTCTTTACTAAAACCAACGGTAGTAGAACCAACCGTGACAACTCAATGATCAGTTTGAATGTGTAAGAGCGCCACAAAGGTTTTGCTACTGTTAGAAGAACATTTTTTCTGCTAATAGTGCAGGCTCGATGATATGCCGAAGATATAACATTACAAAACTTCAGGACGTTTTCATTTTTCACAATATTTGTTTATTATTGATGGGTTGTGTTGAATGCCCCAGCACTGCCACATCTGTAATATTAATTAAAAAGGATTAATTATGATCTTAGTCTGTAATGACACACACAGTCAGTGCTCTTTAAATACTGATCATATCCACCATTTACTCAGAAACTGACAATTTATGATGATAATGATAAGAGCTGCTGTAGAGCTGCTACTCATTTGATTATTCAGTGTGTAGTGAGTTTTTCTACGAAAGAAAGTCTTTAAAAGCTCTTAATACGTCAGTTTTACACACCTGTTCAGTATCGGAATAGTGCTGTGAAAATCCTCAGTAAGCATTAATCTTTAATCTTAATCTTTAATCTGAATAATTTTGCTGGAAACTTTGCAGTTAGTCTGTGCAGAGGCTGTTCTTTAGTGTGGCTGTGGGGGGCGACAGAGTGCAGTTTATTTATTTTCTCTAATTAAACTGCCCTGTAAAAAATGTCATATCAGATTAACCTAAATAAAAATCTTTCATGTAGTAACAAGCAGTTCAACTAGTTTTATTAATCATTTATTAAAAGTATTTATTTAGATTAAATAAAATTAATTTGTTTGCTTATTACTGTGTGAAATAATTTTTAGGTTGAACTGACGAGACACTTTTTACAGTGTGGGCATCTAAACTCTTATTGGTTCAGAACGTTCTCCTTTGCTTATTGGTTCTTCAAACTTCATCATTTCATCTCAAACATCCGAATGAGTTTAAAAGTGGTAAAGAGTTTGGCTAGTTTAAAGGACTTTAAAGAGAAGTGAAGAGCGCTTTAGAGACATTTGTTAAAGGTCCTCAGACGACCCATGAAACTAAATCACCAGCTAAAACTATGGAGTGATTAAATATTGCATTGTGAGCATTTATCTGACCACAGATCTCTCTCGCTCTCTCTCTCTCTCTCTCTCTCTCTCTCTCTCTCTGTGTCTCTCTCTCTCTCTCTCTCTCTCTCTCTCTCTCTCTCTCTCTCTCTCTCTCTCTCTCTCTCTCGCAGTCCTCAGTGTCTCTCGTCCACCTCTGGTGGCAGTGTCGTTTTTAACATTTGAATGCTTATTCAGTTATTAATCTTAATACTAATCCACAAAAAAAAACTAATAATAATGATAAAATATGGTTCCCTCCTGCAGTTCTGATATGACGGTGATTCAGTGTGTCCTTTGAAACTGATGTGTCGGTTCTGTTATGAGAGGAGCTGAAATGTAAACATGTACAGTTATTGAGAGTTTAATGGATTAAAGTGGAAAAGCTTTATTAAGTAAAAGGTGATTTATTTCCTCCTGTTTGTTTCAGAACAAGCTTCTAACTTAAGTCCTGGGATTAGTTTTGCGTGAGGAGGTGGAGTAATTATACAGAATAATGTAATTCTACACACGTCTGTAAAGTTTATGCGCTCCATACACAGCATGTTCGTGTCCAAACATTTAAATGAATCTTCATCTGGCTTCTCCTGATCGTATATCCAGTGGTCTTAAGTGAATGCAGTGCAAGTTGACATCACCTCATATTCCTGTAACTTTACATGATGTACAGCTGGTAAACTGACAAGCATCATTACGGAGTGAGGAGAATATGAAACATGCTAAAATATGGTGATCGTGCGCTGCTGTGAGTCGCCCTGTAAAGCCTGAAATAATCATTTAAAAGTCAGAGGCGTAGAGTTTTTCACACCACGTCATACGTCTTTACGATGTTTAGGTCTCAAATGATCTCAAAATCAACATCATGTTGATGAAGATATGATTACAATAGTAGATAATTCACTCACATCCTCAGACGAAGCGTCCTTCACCAAGTTTAGACTAAGTTCTCTTTGAATTCTTTTTCAATCAGCAGATTCATCCGTTCAGGAAGAACAACCCACGCTGTAAAATGTTCTGCCTGCAGTTACACATTTCCACCAGAGAAGTCTCTTAATCCCCAAATCTTACACAGTGCAGCTTTAATGTTTGGTAGGACCATACAGCCTGTAAAAAGTATGACTTAAAGGGGAATTCCACCAGTTTTCCAAAATTTCTGAATAATTGAGTCTGTGAGATGTAAACAGAGTGGTTTGGTGTAAAGCGGTTCGGAGTTCTTTACAGTGGTGGTGATAGGAACCAGGGGTTGCCATGTCTACAACACAAATATAGACATTTTATTTACTATCCAAAACCACCAGTGAACCTACACTTGTCCTTCTAGTTTTATATGGAATGTTGATGATGGGAAAATAGTGGAAAATCTGAAATAATAAGTCATCATTCGGGACTCTCTTGCCTCACAACATCCTGCATGTATCCCTCCACTATGAATGGATTTTTCAGTTCTCAAAACTATTATAAAACAATGTCTCAGACATCAGGCAGTGTATTCATAACCATTCCAGGGAGCTTTTAGAGGTGGACGTCTGGTTCCTGTCACCACCACTGTGAACAATTCTGACTCGATAAGATTCTTTGGAAAGGAGCTTTTCACACCAGACCACTCTGAACGTCTCTGTTTCTTAACCATTTAATTATGCAGAAAATATGAAAAATCAGTGGAATTCCCCTCGTCGTCACTGAGAAACACTGAACTGCATTACCTCACATCTTTATGTAAAACTAATCCCATCTAAATAGCACTCCAGTCTGGTTTTAAACATTAAGCTGCCACTTTCAGAACCTTTAGAACTGTTACCTGTTCTGTGTTGGGTTGCAGGTTCAGTCAGTGATCTTCATCATTAGGCTGCTTGTTCCTCTTTTATTTAAAGAGCTCAATGAGTGTTTAAAGTCATGTTAATCTCACTAATGCACAGATTTGCTCATTAATGTTTACTTTAATAGGAGGCAGATGTTCTGTTTCTCCACAGTGACGCCGCAGTGATCTGGTGCTGCTTCACTCTCAGAACAGAACCGAAAGAACCTGATTAACAAACTGTCATGTTCCTGATTAACTGAAGCTCTGAAAAAATGAAAATAAACGAGTAACGTTTATTCAGAACACTCTCCGGTTCCTGTCCAGCTCCTCTCCGGTTCCACACCCTACAGTGCTGTTAAACCTGTAAGGCCGCAGCAGCAGTTGCGGCATGAGGAGTTGAGGACTGAGCGAACACTGACTGATCTGTATTTCCTGCATGTTTAAACTGCGCTGTGCTCGTGATCTGTGTGTACTGCGTGTTCCTCAGTGCTGTGTTCTCCTGTTTCAGGCCTTAAAGACACGTTCTAACACTCACAGAAATCTAACTCAGCACCTGCTGTGGACTTTAATGTATAAAATCGTGTCCTCAGTGATTTTCATTCCGATTATGTTCCTGTAAGAAGTTGTTTTTGAAACTGTAATGGTGTTCAGTTTTTGACTTTTTTGTCATCTCTCTGATGCTTGTCCGTGTGGACGCTGAACTCTCTCTGACCGGATCTCAGTCGTATTTTACTTTATTCTGCATTCCATGTGGTTGTGAGTGTGAACTGAGCTGACCTCTCTCTTTGGGCGTCTGTGCAATATTGCCTGTCCCTGTTTCCTCCGTCAGGAGCTGATGTGAAACACTCTAAACCACAACTATGTGTTAGTCATGCAGGCGGGGCGGTGATGCTGAACAACTGGGGGGTTTTTGGTTGTTTTTTTTTTTGGGAGGGGGGGTAAATGAACATAAATAAATAAACAAGTGTATGTAATATGTAAAATGACGACTGCTCTTTCTGTTTAAAGCATCGTTTCTTCATGTAAATAACAAATTAAAGGAAGGCTAAGGTCTTTTTGGCTGTTGTCTTTTGAGCTCTTGTTAGTTTCTAAGCTTTAAAGGGCCCAAATCATAGAAAACCAAATTTTTCCTCACTTTATATGGAATAAACGAGTATGTATGTATGTAAGCATTGTTAGTTTCGCTCCTCAGTACATACAGTCCATATTGTGTAAGTTTCATGAAGAATGGACTGACAGAAATGACCCAAAATTACTTGGATAACAGTCTGGTTCCATTGATTTACATTAAAAATAAAGTAGGTGTTTTCCTTCTCCTTTAAAGTTACCATTTTGGAGGTTTTGTTCCCACAGCAGCGATATATGGAAACTAAATGTCAAAAACAGCCTGTTTTAAAAAAAATCTTTGTCACAAAAATGGACACATTTACAAACTTCCGCCAATTCAATCAATCAAATTTTATTACTCAGAAATACATTAAAGCATGACCCTCATTGTCAGTGCAGCAGAGCATTTATAGTGCAAAATGATTGAAAAAGAAATGACAATAGAATTAAATCAGGTAAAACTAAAACAGAACTACATGAACAAAATCAGACAAGATAAATAAGGGAAAAACACAAAGAGAAGAGTCAAGATTTAATTAAGAGTGGGAACAAAATAAATGAATGAAAATGAACAGGATATTCAACTAAAAGGATATATAATGCAAAGTTAATTGTGAAACAGTCAATCAAGATGAATCAAGGTTTTAATCAAAATAAATATAATAAAAGAACAGGGAAAAAAATGCTACATATTTGTCATATATGATATGCTTTCATATTTGTCACACTTGAAAGTTTCAGATCACCAAACTACTTTTAATATTAGACAGTGATAACACAACTAAACACAAAATGCTGTTTTTTAAATGGTGATTTCATTTATTGAAGGAAAAACAATGTTCAGCCCTACCTGGACATATGTGAAAAAGTAACTGCCCCCTTATAAAGGTAAAATGAATTGAAATCAATTGATTATTGGGTTCAATTTCACTTCCACACCCAGGCATGATTACTGCCAGACCTGCTGCATCTAAACATCACTTAAATAGAACCTGTTTGGCAGTGTGAAGCAGCTAGAAGTTCTCAAAAAGCAGCACATGATGCCACATTCTAAAGAGATTCATAAACAGACACGAAACAAAGTCATTTTGAAATCTACAGTCTGGAAAGGTTTGCAAAGCCAGTGCTAAGGCTCTTGGACTCCAGGGAACCACAGTGAGAGCCATTAGCCACAAACAGAGAAACTTGGGAACAGTGGTGAACCTTCCCAGGAGTGACCGGCCTACCAAAATTTCACCAAGAGCACCTCGAGGAATCATCCAGGAGGACGCAAAGCAACCCAGATGAACATCTTAAGAACTCTAGGCCTCACTCGCCTCAGTTAAGGTCAATGCACACAAAACGCATATGCAAATTATGTATCCTTTTGAAATATGAATAAAATTCAATGTATCATTTTTTCTGAGACATTGTTTTATGATAGTTTTGAGAACTCCATTCATGGTAGAGGGATACATAATATGCAGGGCGTTATGAGGCTAAATAGTCCCCAAACAAAACTTATTAATTTATATTTCCCACTATTTTCCCATTATCAACATTCCATATAAAACTCAGAAGACACGTGTAGGTTCACTAATGGTTTTGGATTGTAATTAAAATGTCTATGTTGTAGTCATGGTGACCCCTGGTTCCTATCACCACCACTGTAAAGAAATCTGAACCATTTCACACCAAACCACTCTGAATCACTCTCAACCACTCAATCATTTGGAGACATATTTTAAAAGCCCTTATGTTAGCTCACTTAGCACTCTGAGCACACCTGAACTGACATTAACAGCAGCCAATCAGCATAGAGCAAATGAGAGGCCCCGCCCCTCCACAGCGAGGAGCGAGATTATCCCTTTAAGCAGCATCCAGAGAAGAGGAGAGCAAACAGGAGCGGTTCTGCAGATTATGGAGCGAAGTCGAGGCGTTTTCGGCTCGTCATGCTGATATCGGAGCGGTAGAACTGCACAGGTAAGGATTAAGCAGGTTTATTTTAAGAGATTGGGTCAGTTAGGCCTGTTTTTCAGCCGAACCCGAGCAGATGTGTTGTTTTCAGTCGAGGCGGTTCTGTATGAGTCACTGCGTTAATGCGTTAGTGTTTAAAACCGCTTGTTTTCACGTCTTAATCAGTTTAAGAGGACTTTTACTATCTAATCCCCTCCATATCCTGTTAAATAATCATGCAGATTAACTGTGGTTCGGTTTAATCGCTAAATCAGTGCCCACGTTCACAGTCTCGAGAGCCTTTGGCCGGCTCCTCGCTCCAATTTTCCGTTCCACCTTAAATGGTGCAGCAGTTACATTCTAGCCTCAGGCGCCAGAATGTAACTGCTGCACCATTTAAGGTGGAATGGGAAATTCGAGCAAGGAGCCAATTTGAGCTTCGTATTAAAGCTTATAGCTTGGTTATATAAACACTGGGGTCTGTCTTTAAGCTCTAAGAATCATCGATTTATGCATGCTAACCCTTTTTTTGAAACATTTCGAAATACCTGTTAA